ATGCCTCCATGCGGATTTTCTAATAAGGAAAATCATCTCCCTCAAAAATAGGAGGAGGACCATCCCCGTGAGACATCTTTCTCTAGGCGGTTAAGCCTAAAAACATGAGCACGAGGCTCTAATACCAATTGAAAGGATCAAGATGCCCAAGAGACGGGGTGAATTGGGCTAATTCTAAAATTCTTTCAATAATTAAACCCTACACTTAGCCCACTTCACCCCTTGTGCCTAGAATGTGTTTCTAATGTTCTACCACACAAAAGTTTTGCAACCTAAGTTCCAATCCTACTCTAGCATGGCAATTCTATGAATGTAAAGACAAGAATTGAATTGCTCAAAGTAAATGCTTAAAGTAAAGAGAGAAGGAGGAACGCGGCGATGTTTTGCCGAGGTATCGGAGAGTCACCACTCCCCACTAGTCCTAGTTGGAGCACCCGCGCAAGGGTGTAGCTCCCCCTTGATCCGCGCAAGGATCAAGTGCTCTCTACGGGTTGATTCTTTGACACTCTATCATGGTGAATCACCCACAACCGCTCACAACTTGAGTTGGGCCATCCACAAGCTCCGTCGGATGATCACCAAGCTCCCAATCACCACCAAGCCGTCTAGGTGATGGCGATCACCAAGAGTAACAAGCACGAACTCTCACTTGACCATGACAAGCCTAATGAGAAGGGTGGATGCACACTTTGCTACTCTTACTTTCACTAATGAGGCCTCTCTCTTGGATTCTCAAATCTCAATCACCTCACTAGGACCTTGCTCTCCTTGGCACTCTCAAGGATGTTTCTTAGCTATTGAAATGAGCAAAAGTGATCCCTCAAGTGAATAGAGGAAGTATTTATAACCCCTCATTCAGAATGAACCGTTATGTGCCACTGCGGGGTGACCGGACGCTCCGGTCAGTTCTCCCCGCCACCGAGCAGTTAAGTTGTGATCGGACACTGACCAGCGTTTGGTCAGCACTGACCAGATGCGTTCGGTCACAAAAACTGCTCTTTGGAACCTTACTGATGTTGATCGGACTCTGGCACCCAACGTCCGGTCACTTTGTTGCTCAGCGTCCGGTCAGTAGCCGGAACCTGACCAACGTCCGGTCAGCACTGACCAGACGCGTTCAATCAGGATTCTCCCTCTCTGGAACCTTACTGGAGTTGACTAGACTCTGGCACCCAGCGTCTAGTCATATTTCACTCAGCGTCCGGTCGCATCCAGATGACTTCACCTTGATCAAATGAACTGACCGGACTCTACGCCAGCGTTCGGTCACACCGGAAGTAGCGTCCGGTCAACATTTGACCCTCCATTCACTTCCAACTCGCAATCATATGTGAATGAAATTCGCTTCAATTGATCTAAGGGCTATTTAGGAGCTACCTAATGCTAGATTAGACAAGTGTATACCACACCTAACCCACTAGACTTATCTAGATCAAGCTACCCGTCCATACCCCCCTTAATAGTACGGCCAAAGGAAAAACAAAGTCCTAAACTACTCTAAGTGTCTCCTCAACACCAAACGACACTTAGAACTAGTCCATCCTTAACCTTGTCGTCCATCCTTTGAAAACCGAAATGATTTCCATCGTAGGGGCATGACAACCATGATTGCCCAATCAATTGTCATTACCATGACCTAACTTAATTGCATCTGTAAAACACTCGTTAGTCACAGTAATCTCGTATTGTCATTAATCACCGAAACCCAACTAGGAGCCTAGATGCTTTCACCAGTGAAGGGGCACAACGGCTCTATTTTGTGGGGGCTTCTATTTAAGCCCCATTGCCGGCTCCAACTCACTCTCTTGGCCATTTGCATTGACATAGCAACCTTATGAGCTTAGCCAAAGCCCTCCCACTCATCTCCATCATAGATTCAACATCTTTATAAGATTGGGAGTGAATCCAAGTGCATTGCTTGAGTGTTTGCATCTAGAGGCACTTGGTGTTCGTGTTTCACTGCGGGATTCGCTTGTTACTCTTGGTGGTTGCCACCACCTAGATGGCTTGGAGTAGCGAGGATCATCGAGCGGAGGTTGGTGATTGTCTCCGGCTCTGATCGTGGAGATTGTGAGGGGTTCTTGACCTTTTCCCAGCGGAGAGCCAAAAGGTACTTTAGTGAATTGCTCGTGGCTCGTGTGATCCTCATCTTGTGTTGGTTGTGTGGCATCCTATTGAGGGTTTGGCGTGTGATGCCAATTAGCTCGTGAACCTCCAAGTGAGTGAATCACCACAACGAGGACTAGCTTGCCGTCAACTAAGTGAACCTTGGTAAAAAATCATTGTGTCATCATTTGATTTCGAGGTGATTAGTCTTCATTGATATTCATTCTTGTGATTGATTGGTTCACTCCACGACACGGTGGTATAACTATCTTGCTCTCTCTCTTTACATTACTGCAAACTAGTTGTCAAGCTCTTTAGTGTAGCTAGTTGTGAGAGCTTATTAGTTCGGTTAGTGTGGCTCTTTAGTTAGTCTTTGAGAGCACACTAACTTAGTGTGGTGACATAGCCATTGTGTGAAAAGAAACTATAGAAACTAGAATTGTGGTAGGTGGCTTGCATTTTTAGTAGGCTAGCGCAACACTTGCTTCGCCTCATAATTGTCTAACCGGTTTGTTAAGTGTTGTTGTTGAAATTTTTTAATAGGCTATTCACCCCCCCCTCTAGCCATTAGGACCTTTCACCCATTCATTCTTTCAACCAGAGACTTGGGACCTATCCCTCTCTCGCCCGTTTATAACCCCTACTATAAACTTTCAGTGCTAGTAACACGAATAGCAGTATAAACCTCGTGTCCTCTAAGCACACCATCCGAGCCAGACACACAATACTAGAAATTTACTCGTTGGTGGTAACTCGAAACACCGACAAACACGATGGTGCAATCGGATTTTAATTAGGATACTTGGTTTATGAGATATGACTTTTTTTACCTCAAAAAGCATGGGATATATGTTGATGTCAGCAATTTCGGCTTTTAGTGCATGGATGCTGCGTGGCCTATTGTTTAGCCCAAGAATACAACTGAATTGGGTCCAATTTAGTGAAGAAGTGAGGAAGGATATTATTTTTTTAGGAGGGGAGGGGGGTCGGCAGCTAGGGGGCCCCCTTGTGGGCCACCATGGGTTTTAGCGGTGCTGGTCTGATGGACCATTTTTGTTTTACCTTTCCAAAAACAAAAGAAATAACAACTATCTGACCTACACTAAGAGCATCTCCAGTAATACTACCTAAAACACACACCCTATTTCTCGGTTTAGGTAGCTACCTATTTTATACTACTCATATTTCGTTGTTTACTCCAGCAGCACTACCTAAAATAGACCCCAAATTAATCCTTGCAGGGTATGACATGTGGATCCCACATGTCATCCTCTCTCATCTTCTTCCCCGTTGACGAACGGAGCAGAGCCTAGGCAGCGCGCGGAGATGCAGAGCATCGGCAGTGGGGAGGCATGGCCGCCGCGTAGGGGCAGGGCGGCCGTGTTGGGGTAGGCTCACTATGCTGGGCAGGCTCGTCGTGCCGGCCAGGAGCCTCGCCAGAGGAAGGGCGCCATGTGGGGGCTGGCTTACCGAGGTAGACTCGCCACGCCGGGGCGGGCTCGCCGGGGTAGGCTCGCCGTGCCGGCCAGGAGCCGCATCGGAGGCGTCGGGCAGGAAGCGCCGGTGTCGGGCAGGACGCGCTGTCATCGGGATAGGGCGACAACGCGGGACTGGATGTGCCGGAGTCGAGCTTGCACAGTCGCGTTTGGAGAAGGAAGAAGGAAAAAAACAGGGGGAGTGGAGCGGGGGCCCAACAGAAGTAGGGGGTGAAGGGGGAAAGGTAGGGGGCCAACAGAAGTAGGAGTGTAGTATGAGGCTTGCTGGAGTTGGTTTTTTTACCCCCACTACCCAAATTCAAAGTAGGGCGCATTGCTGGAGATGCTCTAAGGCCCGTTTGGTAATTGGTAGCGAATTTTGGACGGCTTATGAGACTGATTTCTAGCTTCACCTACCAAACCGGTGATTTCTAAACAGTTTCACCGTACAAGACCTTGAAATCACGTTCTCATATGGAATGTACGCCAGGAGAACCTGAAAAATAGTGGCTTCTCTCTGTTCACTGTCGCTTTGGTGGGTCCTAGCACCGCCATGGGCAGATTTGCCCCCCGGGTCGACGAGGGGAGTGCGGGGGCAGGTGAGCGCTAAACCACTACTGCATCGGCATGCAGCCCTAGCTCGCGCGGGACGCCAGTGGCAGACGAGGTGGGCGGGGTGATGCGAAATTTGGGGCGAGGCGACACAGGCGACACGAAGCCAGGGTGGGCCGCTGTTGCATGGGGAGGACAAGGTCGGAGCATGCCCAAGCACGAGCGCGAGCGCCAGTCGCCAGAGCAAGGACAGGGCGGAGGAGAGGAAGAGCTGCTGCTGCTGCATGTTGACGAGGAAGCATTCGGATAAAAAAGAGAGACCGACATGGTAAAATAAAGAGGAGATGAGGAAAAGAAAGAAATAAAGAAAGAAAAGAATACTACGGTCATTTTATCCATTTTGTCAACTAGAAAAAATTGTTTTTTGTCAAACGGTCTCTAAAATAGTTTCAGCTTTACCCTAAAAGCCGTTTTCGAGCCCAAGTTAATAAAAACTGTTTCACTATACTGAGCTGTACGAAATAGACACGACTGAGTTACGAGTCAAACCTAGAGTATGCCTAAAAATCAATATATATAACAATATTCCATTTCTAAAATAATTACGCATCTCACTTTTGAAAAGTTTTACTTGATTTATAGAAAATCTATATCTATACTATAATCTATTTTTTATTATCTTATATATTTATTTATTTATCGTTATATACTCAGATTTGCCTTCTTTTTTCAATCTTTGATTTTTTTTATTTGAATAGCTGATATATTTCTAATTGAAAAACAATTCAGACATTCCTTCCCCGCCGAGACAAAATGAGATGAGCTTGCTCACTTCCCAACACCGATGCGTCCCGGCCTCCGGCGCCGATGGCACCGCGCGCCCCGCAGCTGCGGCACCACCCGCCGTATCTCCTCCTCGCCGAGGCCGTCGCCTCCTGGCATCCCTTCCAGAAGAAGCCCTGTCTCTCAGACCGCTCCACCGCTACCCCCTCCTCGGCCCACCTCCCTGATGCGGAGACTCCGACGCCTGCCCCCTCAGGGGACGGTAGCGGCGGATCCTTCCGGTGGCTCGGGCTCCGCAAGCGCCGCCGCCGCGGTGCGGGCTCGCGGTCCGTGTCCGGCCGCAGCAGCGACCGCCGGAGATCCGGCACGTGTTCCGATTTCCACTTCACGTGCGGCGCCGGTGGCGGCGGCGCCACTGACTCCAGCGGGGAGATGTGGGCGTCGGATGTCGGGGAGGTGCGGATGAGGGACGTGCCGATGGCGACGGAGTTCGGCCCGGCTCCTGTTGCTGGGATTGGTGCCGCGAGCGGTGGGGTAGGCACGGCAGCGGAGGCGACGGTCGCCGATTCTGGGTACGGGAGCGAACCTGGGTACCGTGGCGACGTGGATCTGGGATACGGTGATGAGATCGACGAAGAGGAAGAGGAGGAGGATGGGAGGCAGCAGCTGTTCTGGGGCAGGGTTATTGGAGGTGATGAGCGTCCTTGAATTCATTTCTTTGGATAGTCACTGGTTTTAGCTTTTAGTATTCTCGAATCTCGACTCTCAACATAGATCTGAGCTATTGGCAGCATTACTGTGTGCACTTCGTTGATTTAGTATATGTTTGTTGGAACAACTTAGTTTGTTAACTTTGTAGATTGAGATTCTGGTGTTGATGGATATTATCAAATGATTATAGGGCATCGAGCTCCTCCATTCTTGGTTCTCGTAATGTGTCGTAAGTCTTGTTCGTTGCTGTTGATGTTTGATCATAAATATTTGCAGTGGATTAGTCGAGTCAAAATAGTTTTTAGGGGAAATGCATTTGTTTATCCATACAATATGCTTGTAGTGGTATGTCTAACAAAATGACCCTGCCCGATTAATATTCCTTTTTAGTTTTACTCATTCCAATCACAAATATTTGTTTCCTTTTATAACAAGATCACAAATATTTGTTGTTCATGACATTGATGTGGCCTACAAGATGGAACTTTGACTATAGGTATCTATAAAAATGTTGTTTCGAATATAAAGAGCTACTACCTCTATTCCAGAATGATAAGCGTATTTTGACCAGGGAAAGGTCATACAAAATAGACAATATGTTGTCATTTGCTAAAGAATCAATATCATCTCAGAGGCACTTTTTTAAATATATTAATGCAAGTTTTATGTCCTAAACTTGTATATAACGCGACCAATTGTTGATCAAAGTTTGTAAAATCTGACTCTTCCCTGTACAAAATACGCTTATCATTCTGGGACGTAGTGATTATATATTATGGGAATATTTTTCAAGTAGTAATAGCAATGTTATTTTATCAGTCTATGATTTTTAGCTATGGATGGTCAAAGCTAAAAACGTTTGACTTGGGACAAACCTAAAAATGACTTATATTTACGATGAAGTATAATGTTACCTGGGATGATTTGGTCTGTTGAGGGGCATGCTTTCTATATGCATGCATGTGAGTACATGTATAGTATCACACTATCGCTAGACTTCTTTTATATTCCAGCTATTTCGATTTTTTAGATGAGATCTGTGAGCTTCAGATTGTACTAATGTAAACAAATCACAATGAATGTCCAAACATGATTTCTTGTTTAGTTCGGCTTGTACATTGTATGTCCTTAACATGCACATTTTTGTCCCTTTCCATCAAAATATCTGAGATTGATCCTGTGGTACTGCAATTGTAATCAGGTCAAAGCTGACCCTGTTTGGAACTGGTAGCATGGATACTCCTCATGGGTTTATGCAACCTGACCAAATATTCCTTTTGTGATTTGGTTAATTTTGATATGGCTTTCTTATGTTGGGTGTCTTTTTGTTGATACTTTTCCAATGTTTCCATTTGTTTCTAGATTTAGCTTTGGTATGCATGGAATCTCATTTACGTTTTAATTTTTGACATATCTCATGTACTACTTTTTTGCAAGTAACATTTAGCGAGCTGGCTTAGGGTAAGTATTGTTCATGGCAGATTCATCTGAAAGAGTGTGTCATAAAGTCTGGTTTCACGTTTCAGTTTGAATCCTCATGGATCCTTTTGTTTTATTTGTCCACTTATTTAGTTTCGGAACCACAGCCTTTGCTGAGGCTGCTAGACCATGAAACTTTCAGAAGAAATGGACCAAGTTATTGCATGCACCAAAGATCTGATAGGGTAATTGTGTGAAATTCAAGGTTTAAAGTCTGGACCACTGGCTCGGGTGGTGCTATGGTGGCAGCACAGCAAAGTCCAAGCACATGTCCAAGGAAGGGGGGTACCTTCAGGGGCGCCTGTAGGGCCTGGGCTGGGGGTTGTGTGTGCGTGTGTGGGTAGTGTTAGCCCATCGAAGGAGACCTAACCCTAGCTTAGCTTGTCCAGGCAAAGGCTTGTGTCACTCTTGGTGCTTCGATTTGTCTTCACCATTGTAGGCGCTTCTTTTTCGTGTTGAGGCTAGCAGTGCCCTTGCTCCCAGACCCCACCCATTGAGATAGATACCGCTAGGCGAGGCACCATGTGGCTCTACAGGCAGAACCGCAGCGACAAGGCCCCAAGCAGGCCGCTGGCTTTCAGCTGCCGCCTTCAGGGCACATGCACCGGCATTGACATGTTGTCATGGGACAAGGGCTCAGGGCTCCAGCGGATCCTTTTATTATTTGCGGCGAGACTACGCTGCTCCCTTCCAAATTTTTCTGTTGTTTCATTCTTGGTATAGGACCTCTGGAATTTGCTCGGCTTGGGAGCTGCAACTTCTCCCCCTTGTGCGGTGTTAATTAAAATAACAGAATTGGCTAATCCATCAGTTAGGGGTTTGGGAATGTTCCTCGAGTCTTTAGTTTTCTTACCAATTTTTGTTCAAATATATTCTGGAATGGGATAAATGCCGGGAAGTATTTTTTTAACGCAGGAGAGCTGCGTTTCATTGTATTAAAGAGAAGGGGTGGTCCTCAACAGGATCCTCACTCATACGAGGACCAAATATGAGTGAGGCAATTACACAGATTCCGAACTCTTGCACATAGCTAACACACACAACTCAACCTAGCTCAACAGCCCTAGATTGCAATAGTAAGCCCTAGCCCCAACAGTTTCTTTGCACCAGCCATGCACCATAAGCCGTGCTCATCCTTCAGCTCACACAAAATCGTGTTGACCAAAGGAGAAGCCTCCTCAAACACACAAGCATTTCTATGTTTCCATATAATCCAGGTGCCGAGAATAATTAGAGTGTTAACTCCTTTTTTGTGCTCCTTTTTAACTCTTCTCATTGTCTTGTGCCACCAATCTACAAAGCTCCTTTCATTTTGTCGGGGGACTAAATCTGTTAGGTCCAACGGATGGAGCAATCTGAACCATACTTGTCTTGCCACGACACACATTGTTAACAAGTGTTGTATCGTCTCATCTTCTTGATCACATAGAGGGCATTTATCCGGATGAGAGAGGCCCCTCTAAGCAAGCCTATCTGTTGTCCAACATCTGTTTCGGTTTGCCAACCACAGAAACATTTTGCATTTAGCCGGGGCCCAGGTCTTCCATAACCGACGCCAATGCTCAAAGGTCACAGCACCAAGGAAATAGGCTTTATAGGCAGATTTGGAGGAGCCTCCAAATGTGACGATCCTCTTGGTCAGTCAAAACAATTTCTATGAGGCAGTCCCATAACTGTAGGAATTCTCTAATACCAGCCTAAGACAAGCCTCCTTGGATCTCCCTGGGCCATTCCCCATTGTTGAGAGCCTCAGCCACCGTCCGGTTCTTGCGCATTCTTGGAGGGACACATGCAAAGACTGTTGGCGCAAGATTTTCAATTGAGCAACCGTGCAGCCAATGATCAGTCCAGAAAAGAGTGTTATTTCCATTTCCTACCTCCGTAGTGACCGCAATGGTAAAAAGGGCTATGGAGTTGGGATGCGAGGGAAGCTCAAGGTCAGTCCATGGCCGATCAGCTCTGGTCTTCTTAAACCATTGCCATCTGATTTGTAGCGCCCAGGCCATTACCTCCAAATTGGGGATGGCTAAACCAAGATCCAACGGTCTCAAAACCTTCTCCTAAGCCACTAGACAACAAGTAGATGAGAAAGCAATTTCACGCAGAGCAACTGGGGTTGGATCAAATCGTTTTTGGTATTTTCCTACCCACAATCCACAAAGGTGTTCTAATAAATGTTGCTTGATCATTTTAGATTAATATTATTGGTTTTGTTCCTTGTTACATCTATTGCTACTAAAATTTTTGGCATTTCATTATTTAGCCTCCCCTTTACTCTGTTTTTGATCCGTTGTTTGATAGCTTGGCTAGTTCTTGATTGCCTAGTGAATGATAATGCCACGTTTTGTATACATGTGAAGCCATAACAATCAAATTTGACCTCCCTTTGAGGGAACATATTTAATTTTCCATGTGTTCCTAGTTTATTTTGAGGGAACAAGTAAGAAACAACTCTTCCACACCTGCGCAGAGATCAGGTCCTCATATATGTGATTCTGATCTGATATTGTCTGATTGTCAGCCTAACATGATGAGGTAGCATTACCCATGAGTGTACTGGCTATTGCTATACAGATGTAGTACCTCCAGAGTTGGAAGGGTTGTTGTAACACCTTTTTTACAATGTGAAATATTGGTGTTCCATGCATGTCTAATGTCTTATTGCATATACCTTGGTAACTCAATGTGCTTGACTGCTTGTACAGTAGAGTAGGAACTAAAAAAAAAAAATCAAAATTGCTATTTAAAGGAAAAAAAAACTTTTTGACCATACTTTCAGAATTGGAAATGTTGTCCTTTTGCAAAGATTAACTCGTCATACGTTAACTTCATTGCCATCAAGTGGTGCTATTATGTGTGAACTTGATGGATGGGCAGTCTTTATTTTTGCTGCACTCAATTTATTGAAGATAGTTTTTATTACTAAAATTGGTGGTTGTCTGGTGCAACTGTGATCATTCCATCATGAACTCGTGGTCCTGGTATTTGTTTCCTGCGGCTACCACTACCGGAAATGTTCTTGGATGGTACTCTTATGTTGCAATGGATGCTCTTTATCTGTGTGCTCCTAGCTTTCCTGATGGTTCTTTCCCCCCTCCTTTGTAGATATGAATAAAATGAGAATCGTTGGTGACAATAACTTTGGGGAGCAAAAGAGCCATCACCGTTGCAGGCGCAAGAAGCATGATGTGAGGATGTTGGATTCCTTGAGGTGAAGAATTATGCAGTGCTGTAAGTGGTGAAGCGTGTATGTTGTAGTGTTGCTTCACTAGCAGCAGCAGTTAATGGATAGGGTGTCTTTGTTGTAGCGTTCGCTGATAGAGCAGGCAACTAGTTACCAGTGATTTTTTTTTTTTTTTTTGGTATGGGCACAGATGTTTTCTGATAGTAGTTCCCTAGTTTCTGGGCGAGAATTTTCCATGAGTTTATCAATGAAAACCTAAAAGAGTAACGAATGTGGTAATGTGCTAAGAACATCTGTGTCTTCTTGTTTGTTGGTACATTTGTTAACATGCAGTCGGTGCTGGTCTGTCGTTCTTCATTTTGAGTTGACTGTGTGATCTGTACTAGGCATCAGTCAGGTACTGTCGCCGCTTCAAATTAAGTTGTTTTGGCCTTTTTAGATACATATATAGTGAGTAGCAAAAGCAATGTATTTACAAAAGCTAGAACGACTTATAATTTAGTACTCAGGTGTAGTGGTTAATGCTGCCATTGATTACATGAATTCTTTGTGTAGGAAAGTGCAGTGGTTAATGCTGCCTTTGATTACACTAATTCTTTGTGTTTTCCTACTTTGAAAACATCTATCCTACTTCGAAAACATCTGTTATTCCTCTTTGGATCCGCTTCTCAATTGCTCCTGCTAACCTTTGGTGTCTTGCTAGTTTTCGGCCCCTAGATGCCTTATTTCGTCCTATAGTGTGGTTCGATGATTCGGACCTCTTGTGCTTCTCTATAGTGATCCTTGGTTGGTGCCTCAATTTCTTGTTTACTAGTGAAAATATGTCGATGTTTGTAAATATATATGTGCATCGACTTGTTACGTGTGCATTACGATGGGACGTTTAACATGTTGTATGGTTACTTAGATGATTTGCAGTTTAGGAATTTATTCAGTGATTAATTATGTCATGCATTTTAATTCATCTTTAGAGATTTATCAATTGTCACGTCAAGCTTTGCAATTGGTTATGGGACTAGATTCCTCATGATGTGTGAACACTCTACTCTAACTTGTATGGCCGTTTACCACTGAGACACTTTGTATTCCATTTTGTTTTAGAACTGAACTCTATACCGTGCTTGGACATGATACCCTAACTTAGTTTGGGCACGAGAGAGATTACCTATTGGACGATTGTAAGTCATGAAGAATGAAGAAACTCTCTGCTCAGAAAATTGTTCCATAAGAAAAATATTATAGCTTAAAAAAGATACATGTCCTGAGTTTATAATCAAAATTATCCAACATAACAAAAGAAATGTCCCAGTATAATTTTAAATATAAGTTATAAAGAGACAAAGGAAAACAAAGTGGGAACTAAACTTTAAATAAAATAGTAATAAAGATAAATAATAAAGGAACTAAACAAAAAGAAGAAAAAATAATAAATTATTAAACAAATAATAGGAAAAACAAATAAACAAAGTAAAAGAGAAAAATAAATTTGAAAACAGAAAAAAGAGAATAAATAAAATTTTTAATCAGAAACAGAGCCTATCTAATGTCGAGTTTTTTTAGTGGAGAGGGCAGAATATACGTGGGCAGATTTCTCAGTCACCCGGCTCATTCATGTGGATGTGGACCACAACACAATATTAGCAGCTGGGCCTGCTAGCCTCCACGCTGACGCTGTGCTGTTGGGCTGACTTAGGCTGCTCTAAAGGCCCGCAAAGGCGCAAAGAATGAAAGGACAGGGGACAGGTTGCTACAGTAGTACAGGCTGCACGCACGCCGCCAGAGCCGCCGCCTCCTGCCTCCTCTTCCTCGCCAAAATCTGAGAACAACCATGGCCACACACACAGCTCCCGTGCCCGCCGCCGCCGCCCGCTGTTTCGACTTCGACGTGATAGTCCTGGGCGCCGGCATCATGGGTAGCTGCACGGCGCACGCGGCGGTGTCCCGAGGCGCGCGCGTTCTGCTCCTGGAGCGCTTGGACCTGCTGCACGGCCTCGGCTCCTCGCACGGCGAGTCGCGCACCATCCGCGACGCCTACCCGGACGCGCGGTACCCGCCGATGGTGCGCCTCGCCAGCCGCCTCTGGGCGGACGCTGAGGCCGAGTCCGGCCGCCGCGTGCTCACCCCGACGCCGCTGCTCTTAATGGGCCCGCGCAGCAACACCTCGGTCATCGCCGCCGCCAGAAACGCCGGCACGGAGGAGGTGGACGTGGCCGCGAGGTGGGGAGGCGCGTTCCGGCTCCCGGATGGGTGGGTTGCCGCGGTGAGCGAGCACGGCTCCGGCGTGCTGCACGCGACCGGGGCTGTCAAGATGTTCCAGGATCTCGCCGTCCACAAGGGCGCCGTGGTGAGGGACAACGCGGAGGTCGTCGAAATCAGGAAGGGACCGGAGGGAGGCGTTGCGGTGAGGACAAGCACCGGCGAGGAGTTCCACGGCGCCAAGTGCGTCGTCACGGTGGGCGCATGGACCCGCAGGCTCATCAAGTCCGCTGCCGGTGTGGAGCTCCCGATCCAGCCGCTGCACACGCTGGTCCTGTACTGGCGCATCAAGCCCGGCCGCGAGGGAGAGCTGACGGCGGAGGCCGGCTTCCCCACGTTCTCGAGCTACTGCGACCCGCTCTACGTGTACAGTACGCCGTCGCTGGAGCGCCCGGGCATGATCAAGATCAACTATCACGGCGGACCGCCGTGCGATCCGGACGACCGGGACTTGGTCTCTGGCGGCGGCGACGTCGTGGAGCGGGTGGCCCGCTGGATTGACGAGTTCATGCCTGGACACGTGGAGACCGCCGGCGGGCCGGTGGACCAGCTGCCGTGCATGTACTCCATGACGCCGGATGAGGACTTCGTGATCGACTTCCTCGGAGGAGAGTTCGGGCAGGATGTCGTGGTCGGGGCTGGGTTCTCTGGGCATGGCTTCAAGATGGGTCCGGCGGTGGGGATGATCCTGGCAGAGATGGCTTTGGACGGCGAGGCGAGGACTGCGGCGGAGGCCGGCGTGGAGCTCGGCCACTTCAGGATCAATCGGTTCGAGGGTAACCCCATGGGGAATGCCAAGGATCAGTAAGGTCGTTCATGGATATGGTCACGTGTTGTGTCCTACTGTATGTCCGTGTGATTTTCTTCTTCTTCTGAATTTTAATGTATTGGTAGATGAACTGAAATGATTTTATGATGAACAAGTTACAAGTTTCTAAATCCGTGTGTGCTGCTGCTATGAAATGCCACGGGAGTACATGTGCACTGTACAGTACTGTACTACATAGACAAGGGAGAGGCAATTTTGCCGAAACACATGCTTTACTGCATTACATTACATAGAGGGGAAGGGAAGCGACAATTTTGCAATAGCATGACTTCAATGCTGGAATCTCTAAGTACTCGACCACCAGTACTTTCCTCAAGATCTTTTCAGTGAAAAATTGTGGTGGAGAGAAATAATGCCTAGAAGTTAGAACCAATCACCAATATCATGCAATATTCACCTCTGAACGGATCTACCATATATGTTCCATGGTACTCCCTCCGGTTCTCTAAAGTAAGTCATTTTGAGGTTGTCTTAAGTCAAACATTTTAAACTTTGACTACAAATAACTTCTTTTGGGTTGAGTTTGAAAATATGAAAGTGATGTAAGTAGATTCATCTCGAAATGTAGTTTCATAAAAGTATATATTGACTATATTTTATAGCAAAAAGTAGCGGTCAAAGTCGTTTCTTAAAGACCGTGTCGATGTCCAAAACGACTTGCTTTATAGAACCGGAGGGAGTACCAATTATGGGGATGTAATTTTAATTCCATTTTTCAGACAACCAGGCCAGTTCAAGCTCATAGCAAAGTGCATGCAGGATCCAACGAACTGTAACGTGTGTGGCAGGAAGCTGATAAAGAAACAAAAATCAATTCATAGAAACATAATGACATCATAGAATAAATTAGAAATTCCCAAATAGTGGTAGTGCACGTCTGTTTTTGCGCTTGAAAAGCCAGGTACAGCGGCAATGTAAGCTGGAAATCCCAACACAAATGCTTTGTTTCTTATTTTGCTTTGTATAAAGCAAAGCCATGCAACATGCATTTTATCTAACCAATCCAGTGTTGCAGAGAGAAAATAAAGAAAGATCTAATAATGTGATGATAATATATTCCGAATCCAGTGTTGTAGACAACACTGGAGTGGCTTGGATACATATGTCAAATGTAATTCACGAATTGCGAAGTCCATGCATGAAATAGAAACATAGTGTACAACACATATATGTCTTTATTAGTACATAAAACTCTAGAAGCAATGTAACAACACTGGAAAGATTCTATAATTTACAAATAAGGATTCCATTAATGGATAACATGGCAAAATAGCGGAACCCACAGCCAATGTGGACCCATATCCAGTGCTGCAATTGTCAATGTTTTTTTTTCAGACTAAAGAGGCTGTGAAGACCATGCAACCACTATTTCGCTTGGCTTATAAGCCGTACTTTTTCAGCCAACAAACAATATTTTTCTTTCACAACAAATCAGTCAACAATACTTTCAGCCATGGAACAGGGCAATTGTAGTTTGCACTATATACACCGTTGTAATACAATGGATCTCTAGACTAGACAATGGTGCAACACAATGGCTGAGAGTCTAGTCATTTGTCTGGGGCTGGGTCTGCTATATATTGCGCAGTTGCGGTCGTGGTCCACACTCTCCATTGCACGACAACTGACCAAATGAGATACTGCTAATTTGAACAGGTAATGCTGTTTGTTACCTGTAGCTCCCCCCAATTTAAAGGCTTCGAATGATGAAGATTCTCCTCGTAACCTTTTGCTTTTCTACTTCAATGCTTATGCTTTTTTCTATAATCAAAATATGAAGGATTGAACAAGCGACCAGAGGGGGGTGGGGGTGGGGGTGAACAGGAGCCTATAAAATTCTTTGCCCCAACACGCTTCTTTTCGTTAAAATCACACAAGCCAACTCATGGCATGTGTGGTTAGGACTATTTCACAACCACGTAAAAGCAAACTTTTGGCGACCTTAAAATAGCACGAGAAAACTCTCTGAACACTTGTGGTCTAAGTGTGAGCTATGGCAAATTGTCTGCAGGCTACAGATAGAATAGAAACCAGGCAATTTAAACAGAGCTTCTAACACAAGCTTGAAAACCGTCAGACCTGAGAACACACCTGTGTACACATGATCAAGCAAAAAATAGTAAATTAATGTTCAAAGAAATGGCTACTATTTGCTTGAGTAGTGAACCATTTGCATCTGAAAGTGATGCTGCGCAAGATGAAAAACAAGACAAGCTGTTGTACTGAAACTATCTGAACAGAGACTGAACTTTTAGGCTACTACAGATCACTGGGCAAGAAATCAATTAACTAAAGAACTACACTTCCCAAACACGGTTACAAATTTGCAACGAATGAATACTAGATAGAACTGTAGAAAGAAAGGGACATTGCATAGGAGATTGCGGGAGGGGGATTTCAGTGGTGGTGCGGTCAGCTGCGGTGGAGCCGCCGCTGGAGCCCGCCGGTTCGGTGTCAAGTCCGCAAGGTTGGAGACGAGGTGGCCGTGTAATTTTTCGATGGGCTGGGTTGCTAATCTGCTGCTGGGCTGACTGATCGATGTGGGCTTCATGGGCTGGCGTGCCGCTTGCTTAGTTGGTAGTTGCTTGGATGACCCATTGCCAATAATAATGCAGAAGGAAGAGTCCCTAGACTAGAGAAAATCGATAGTAGCAAGATAAGGCAGAGCACTTTTTTTTTTAAATGCGGGTTGAATATTTTATCTATCTAGGAGGCCTCTAAAGCTTTTCCTTCCAAGAGTGCACAGACACGATACGATCTATATAGGTGATAGAATCATGGATCACACAAGTATTAATTAAAAAAATAAAACCAATTTTGTTATATGCTATAAACCAGATCTACTGGATATAGGTGATAAAAATTAAGAGTAATTACATAAGTATTAAAAAAAGTGAAACTAACTTTGTTAGGTTTTTAAAAAACTATATCAACGATAAATATCAAGAAATGGGTTTATATTTTCTACATAATTAGATTTATAGATTTCTTAATAATATGTTTGTTTAAGTTGCAAGTCAATTGTGTCGCTGTATGCATGATGTCTCCGATGCAATGCATAAGCATATATCTAGCATGAAGTACAAAACTAATAAAACAAACGGTGATATGATGATGCTTATAGCGGTCATCCATCCGTCCGAATGGACCGTATAAGTTGCCGCTCGCTTTGCGCTTTGCCCGCGTCGCCTGTGAAATCATCTAGGCCTCTAGTTGGGTTTCGGTGATTAATGACAATACGTGATTACTGTGACTAACGTGTGTTTTGCAGAGGCAATTAAGTTAGGTCACGGTAATGGAGATCGATTGGGTGGTCATGCCCCTACGATGGAAATCGTTTCGGTTTTCAAAGGATGAACGACAAGGTTAAGGATGGACTAGTTCTAAGTGTCAATTGGAGTTGGAGTGACACTTAGAGTAGTTTAGGACTTTGTTTTTTCTTTAGCCGTACTATTAAAGGGGGTATGGACGGGTAGCTTGACCTAGGTGAGTCTAGTAAGTTAGGTGTGGTGCACACTTGTTAAAACTAGCACTATGTAGCTCCAAAATAGCCCTTAGATCCAATGGAGCAAACTTCATTCACATATGATCGAGAGTTCAAAGTGAATGGAGGGTCAAATACTGATCGGACGCTGGCTCAAGTGTGACCGGACGCTGGCTCAGGGTCCGGTCAGTTCATTTGACCAAGGTAAAATCGTCTGGCGCGACCGGACGCTGAGAGATGAAGTGACCGGACGCTGAGAGCCAGCGTCCGGTCGACTCTAGTAAGGTTCCAGAGAGGAAAAATCACGACCGGACACGTCCGATCACATTTTAAACACTGGAGCTCAGGGTGTACTGACTGGAGCGTCCGGTCAACATGACCGGAGCGTCCGGTCACCCCACAGAGGCACATAACGGTTTGTTTTTCAGCCCATGTTATAAATACCACCTCCACTCGTGTGTGGGGGTACTTTTGCTCATTCCAACAACTGAGAAGCACCTTAGAGAGTGCCAAGAAGAGCAAGGTCCTAGTGAGGTGATTGAGATTTGAGAATCCCAAAGAGAGCCCTCATTAGTGAGATCAAGAGTAGCAAAGTGTGCATCCATCCTTCTCATTAGACTTGTCGTGGTCAAGTGAGAGTTCGTGCTTGTTAATCTTGGTGATCGCCATCACCTAGACGGCTTGATGGTGATTGGGAGCTTGGTGATCATCCAGAGAGCTTGTGGATGACCCAACTCAAGTTGTGAGTGGTTGTGAGTGATTCGCCGCGACAGAGTGTCAAAGAATCAACCCATAGCGAACACTTGATCCTTGTGCGGATCAAGGGGGAGTGGTGACTCTCCGATACCTCGGCAAAACATCGCCGCCTTCCTCCTTCTCTCTTTACTTTGAACATTTACTTTGAGCAATTCAATTCTTGTCATTTACATTCTTAGAATTGCCATGTTAGAATAGAATTGAAACATAGGTTGCAAGTCTTTTATGCGGTAGAACAATTAGAAACACTTTCTAGGCATAATGGGTTAATTAGGCTAACCGTAGGATTTAATTATTGCAAAGAAATTTAGAATTAGTCCAATTCACCCCCTCTTGGGCATCTTGATCCTTTTCATTGGTATCGGAGCCTCGTGCTCACGTATTTAGGCTTAACCGCCTAGTGAAAGATGTCTCACGGGGATGGACCTCCTCCTATCTTTGAGGGGGATGATTTTCCATATTGGAAAATCCACATTGAGGCATATCTAGAAGCTCTAGATGTTGGAATAGTTAGAGCCGCCTCATAAAGTTTCCCAAAACCTCAGGATGCCGCACACCCACAAGGCGATGAGTTGAATTATGAAAAATGAAATGCAAAGGCTAAAAACACCATTTTTAGAGGCCTTTGTAAAGATGTGTTCAACCGGGTGAGGAACCATAAAGACGCCCATGCACTATGATCGGACGTTTGTGTGCTCCATGAGGGAACAAAGAGTGAGCATGAGGAACGCTATCATCT